TGGGTCACCTATCCTTACACCTCCTCTAGGATAAGCCCTAAGTCCAGGCTGAGATGCAAAATACCTCCTGGCTAGGCAGGAATAATCTTTGAATACTCTCTTAACTTCTACATTAGCCAGTTGTCACAATAGTGCCACATAACAAAGAATCCCAAACACAGCGAATATAAGGCATTTGTATTCTGTGTTCTCCGGGTCTGCTGGAATGATTCACTTTCAACTGCTGGTTGGCTGATGTGACTCCAAGCTACAGCTTGGGATTGGGGCTGCTCTACTTGTGTCTTCACTCTGAGCCCCATGCTGAAGCAGCAGCATTCTTTCCTTATAGTGGATTAACGGGGCATAAGAGAGCCTGCCCAAGACCCAAACACATGTAAGCTCTCTATGTCACATCTACCAATAGCTACTGGACAAAGAAAGTCATACAGCCACACCCAGCATCAATAGGGTAGAAAATTGAATATTCCAGAATAATTCAAACTAGAAATTGGTTGGTCTGTTTTCTGTCTGTATAACTGAAGACCACAGACTAGGTAACTTATAAAGAATAGAGATTTATTTAGCTCATGTTTGGGAGGTCAGAAATTCAAAAGTATGGCCAGCATCTGATGAAAGTATTCTAGTGAATAATAACTCAGTCGAGGGCATCAGCTGGTAACACAGAACAAGCTTGCTAGCTAGGGTCTCTCTTCCCATAAAGCCACTACTCTGTCTTGGGGGATCTACCTTCTCAGCTTCATCTAACCCTGATCAACTCCCCAAGGCCTCACATCCTCTACATCACTAGTCACATTTTAGTCATATTTTTAGTCATATTTTCTACCCGCTCATCCCATAAGAATGGCAAATAACGACATGACTTGGGACACAGGAGACATTCATACCATAGTAGAAGTCAATGTGAAAAGAATGTGAGGATGAACCCTGATGCCGGGGAGTGGCAATATCGACATGAGGACTCTCAATTCCATTTTCCAAGCCAAACGGGCCTGGCAGAGAAGATAATAAGAGGTGAACGTCCATAGTAAGAAGTTCAGAAGCAAGATGGAGCTCAGAAAGAGAAGGAGAAGCAATGTATTCTCCTGGCTGGTTCCTTCTTGGCCATCAGCCTTATTTTGAACTATTCCAAGCCAAATTTGCTAGGAAAACTTAATACCCCACCACAAGGCTCCAAGGCAGCAAGCTAACAGTAACCCTGCCCAACTCCTCACTTACCTTCAGACTGCAGGGCAGAAGCAAACAGTGATTTTCAAGTCGCTTATTCTATGTCCACTCAGCACTCTTTGTAATGAAGAGAAACATGCCCCCATCCTTCTAAATGATTTCTCCTTTTTTTTGAAGTCAGACCTTTGTAAACTTTGCTTGAAGTTGCAATAAACTGGAGATTTCTGAAAAAGTGGCTCCCATGCTGCAGGCATTCTGATTTAATTTTTCTGGGGTATACCCAGGTACCAGAGTTTTTAAGCTCCTCAGATAATTCTAAGGAATAGCAAAGTTTAGAGCCTACTAGTTTGAAAATCTAATTTAACCTGCCAGGCTTGCACAAGAGTTCATTTCAAATTGACAACACAGTTTGGGGTCAGCAGAAGGCAATCCCAAGCTCAGTGTGTGCATGGGAGCTGGAGAAATCCCAGGAGTCCTGTAGGCAAAATACAGGGGACTGGGGTGTATCTCAGTGGTACAGCACATGCTTGGCACACACACACAAAAATCCATTATCCCTTTTCTGAAACTCAAAAGGCTTTGAAAACAAAGTTTTTTGGTTTTTTTTTATAACTCAGGGCAGTAAACCCTGACCTGACTTGAACTCACTTGGTGCAAGACCAGAGTATTTATAGTCTTTGCTCTTCCCATTTAGTGTAAATATCCATGCACTTTGCCAGGAAAATATTAATGTGTTTAATTACAAAGTGCTCTCCCAAACCCCAGTGGATTTGTTTCACAATATGGGTATGCATGCCTTTCTAAGTTTTGAAAATTTCTGGATTCAGAAAACAAATGTGTGGTCCAAGCATTTAGGCTAAAGAAATATAGATTCAGAGAAAAAAAAAATGGTTTTTTTTACTGTTCCTTGGATATAAAGAGCAGAGAGAAAAGGAAAACAAATGAAAGTAAACCAAACAACATGGCCCCTGTGTGGTTTAGATAAAAGTGCCCATCTGAGTGGATTAATTAGAAAAAGGAGCATTTGTAAGTAAACATAGCCTCTCACTAGGGATCATAGCAGAGAAGATAATATGAGTTAAACAGCAGATCAAAGGCTGAATTTTACATTCACTCACCTCCCTTAGTCAGATCCTTTTGAGCAGCACACATACTAATCATACAGATGGACTAACCAAGAAATTTTTATAGCGGTTGGTAGATTTTTATAACACAACTCTAAGAACAAGGATGTTTAATATTCAAATTTTAGTTGTTTATGTTAATGAAAAGAAAGTGGCTTTGCCTCCCAAAACTTCAGCAACTGCCTATACACAAAAGCTTTGGGATGAAATGTATGGAATGAGCCACTGGGGTACATGCATGGATGACATGCCTAGCAGCATGCACAAGAGAGCATGCATAGGGTGATAGGTATGCCAGGATAGTGAGCAAGGGAGGGTCACAGTTCAAAGATGGAGCGCTGGATATTTCATAAATTGGTAATTGGGTTCAAGCTAATTTCATCCAACTAAGAAGGGAACGAGGTCTACTGTGACTCTAACCAATGTTGCAGATACAGTAGCATTTAATTTATACACCAAACATAGTGTACACTGTCCCAGATGAGCCTCACAAAAGTTCTAGAAGAACAGAGGAAGCTAAAGGAGGTAAGGTCATTTGACCAATAAAAGCAGCCAAAGCAGAGCAAAGTCAATTATTCAATACAGCAATGTCTGCTGTCAAAGCCAATACTTAAAATCACTACTCTAGTCCTAACCTCATAGTAGAAATAACAGCGCTTAGGGCTCCAAGGCCACTCTAACAAAAGCAAAAATGGTGCTCACCCAGTCCTTTCCATATGCAAGTGTACTGTTAAAACTATGCCTAGAATACTACCTCGTAATATTCGACCAGATTAACACAAGCATGTGAAACACTTGGCTACCTCCTGCAAACTTGTCTTCCCCCCACTTCACCTTTATATAAACTCTACAGTATAAATGTACTCAGAATTTCAGCTATAATTTAAGATGTTTTGCTTTGGGCATTTCATTTGTAGGATCCATAAAAATGAACCTCACATGTAGTTACTTAGAATAGGGGAAAAAATGCTCTCATGTACTAGGTGAAACTGCAAATATCCACAGCATTGTTGACAGTATTTGTAAGGGCATTTTCCATTACCTGAACTTTTGTGACTATGTAAGAGGCACAAGATATCCAACCAATCAGTATACAGCAGTACCCTGAGCCTCTGGTCAATCACATGTGTAATTCTTTGCCTAAACTTTATCAAATTGTACTAAACTTTGCCTAAACTTTATCAAATTCATCAAATTGTACTGGTGATTGATATGTCACTTAAGAAATACAGATAAATTGAAAATATAAATTTTCTACCAATAGTGACTGTGGCAGACACTGCTGATAGTCAATAGCTAATTAGGCATCAAAAATTTATTCTCCCCAAAGCTGTTGCTGGGCTACTACTTATAATCTATTTCTAGATCTGGATGCTAGTTGTGCAGCTGTGTTAAGTCCGTGAAAATGAATTGGGCTGTCCATTTCTCAAATGTACAATTTTCTGACTGTTTGCTATGCTTCAATTAAATTTTTTAAACCAGTTATCCAGTCTACATAATACAAGTAAATGAAAAGAATAAAAAAGAAAAATGTGGGAGCAGCGCCAAATTCCCATGCCAGTGAGCAAAAAGACCCTACCTGATATGAAGCACCCCACCCCCAACACAAACTAGCAGATGCACCAGACAAGCAGGAACCCTTTTCCAAGGAAAGCAAGCAGACCTGTGCCAGGTGGTGTTTCCCAACCCACTCAAGCAAGCCGGCACAAGACAAAACACATTCACTCAGGCAATGCAAGGGCAAGACCATCCACCAACTCATAGCCAGCTGGACATTGTTTCCCTTGGCACAGGCAACAGAAGTGAAGACTAGCAACCAACTTGCTCCAACCTGATCCTGGATGAAGACAAAGTCCATAGACATGAGGGAGCAACTAGACCCTGTACCCAAGAACATTAAGTACAAATGTCCATTTGAACCCATTCCCTGTAGCCTATGTACAGCAGAGACCACAGGGCTGATTGCCCTTCCCATCTACCAATGGGAGCAAGGTCGCACCTTGATTTGGATGGTAACCACAGTCCAGGTGAAAAGATAAAGGAGTTTTTAATGCAGGGAGGGCACCTCCAAAGACCAAAGACCCTATGGGTTGGGGATTTAGCTCAGTGGCAACGTGCCTGCCTCACAAGGTCCTAAATTTGATCCCCAGTACTGTTGTGGGGGGTGGTGGCAACTAAAGTTAGGCAGAGAAAAAGGAGACTAGCTGATACCAAGGCTGCTGATCTTGGAAAGAAACTACTTATTCAAAAACACAGGAATTTTTTAACTCACTCCTTTGTTTTTTATCCTTCTTTCATTGGGTTTTGGGGAAGTTGGAATTTTTTACTCCTTTTTTCTCTTCTTTTCTCTTTCCCCTTCAACTTATTTAAATCTTCCTTTTATTTTACCTTTGGTTTAGCTCTTTTTCTTTACACTTTCCTTTAATTGTTTTTCTAACATTATTAATTTCCTTTTACTCAATAAACCCACCTCGCTTTTCTCTTCTCATATCCAGTTTATTAATTTCTCAAACTTTGATTTTTTTTCATTCTCCTGTTCCATACCCACTCTACCTTCACTAGCATGGCTACTAGTCTTTATGAATCTCTGGATAGCTACTTAAATTTACTTTAGCAGAGGTAAAACTCTTCCACTTAGTAGATATTTCAGTCAATGTTCGGTTTGTCTTAGTGTTCACACTGTAATTATAGATCTCTTTTTTTGGGGGGGTGCAAAATATGGAAAACTTCACAAATTTGCATGTCATCCTTGCACAGGGACCATACTAATCTTCTCTGTATCACTGCAATTTTAGTATATACAGATCTCTTTTCTTTTTCTTTTTTTTTGTACCAGGGATCAGACTCAGGTCCTTGCGCTTGTGAAGCAGGTGGCGGAATCACTGAGCTAAACCCCCAGCTACTGATCTCTTTTCTATGGATAAGGATGGTATATTATTGGTCTTTGGGGTCTGTCAATACTCAGTATAATTAATGCTGATTTTATTACTATACTCAAGGTGATATAGCTGTTGGTGTTAACTGGTTTTCATGGGATGCCAATATCTGAATTACCATGGAGTCGTTAATACTGTGGCTATTTCCTGGAGAACTTGGAACTGAGCCAAATATACTGGACTCTTGCATTCCAAGTAAATGGATTGGGTGGATCCTAGGACAGAGGTAAAGGTAAAAATTAGCCATGCCCATAGAACAACACTGAAAAGTAGATAAAACTGAAGAGGTCTTTAACTAGAAACAAAGCTTTTTACTACAATGAACCAATAAGCCTCAAAATTAAAAACAAACAAGAAACAAAAAATAGAAACATGAGGAGGCATGCCAACAAAATGCCTCCAAAAACTTCCTAATCCCCAAAGCTGATCCATGGGACATTGAAGGGGAAGAGACCAAAAGCCGTGTAATTACCTGAAAGGATATCAGAGGAAATAAAACAGATCAACTGTGCATTTGGCATGCCTACAGAAGATTTAAGTAACAAGATATTGGACCAAATTTTTAAAAATGATCAGCAAATCTATAGAAGATAATTTTTAAAAAAAGCTTTACAAAATAATACAAAACATGAATGACCAGCATGGAAAAGAATTAGAGTCCATAAAGAGGATCCAAATAAACATTCAGTAGATTAAAGATTCTATCAAATGTACAGGCAGCAGAAGTAACTAAAATGAAGTCAGTGTTAGATCTAGAAGACAGGGCTCTGGTTAGTGACCAATGAATGAGAGATACCGTAAAATCACTAGAGAACGTGAAAATTTGCTCTGACAGCTCCTAGATGAAAGAAAGAAGATTAATCTAAGATTAATTGGTGTAGGTGAACTTGGTCTCATGTCTCTGTTCCGGGGTCAACTGTAGGTGAGCCTGGGCCCCAAGCCCCACACTGGGGCACCACATGTAGCTTACTCACCCAACTGGCCTTGCTCTAGGATCTAGATCCACTTCTTTGTTCCTCTGTGAACCAGAGCTGAATGAGGATGAATAACAGAGACACAGAGTCAGCTTAACATGTGGGGGGGCAGAGGAGCCCTGAGCCTTTGGCTCACCTCACTTTTATTCACCCAAACACGGGCACAAAAAAAAGCCAGGAAACACAAGCTTCATCTGGATTCCAAAATCCATTAGTGTATTCTCTGGTAAACAACTTAACTTTAGCTGTCTTAACTTTTTCCTAATATGCAATTGCCCTAGAGTGCAGCTTTTCTCCTTTGTGCTCACAGCAGAGGCCAATTAGGCCTTATTTCTCCTTTTGTCCTCAACAAATTGGAATTAGTAAAAAATCAAAAGACAGCACATATGGCTTTTGTTTGTTTGTTTTGTTTTTTGAGACAGGGTCTCACTATGCAGTTCAGACTGCTCTGGAACTCACTGTGTAGTCCAGGCTGGTCTCGAACTCACAGCGATCCTCCTGCCTCAGCCTCCTGAGTGCTGGGATTACAGGCGCGTGCCACCACACCCAGCCACTTATGGCATTTTTTTAAAAATCTGTTACTGAAATAATAACAGAAAAATTTCCCATAAGGGCAAAGAAATTAACATACAGAGAAGTGAAACATTCAGAACCCTAAATAGCCACAATCAGAAAAGAATCTCTCCAAAGCGCACCATACATAGTCAAAATCCCAGAAGTTCAGCACAGGAAGAGAATCTTAAAAGAAGTTAGAGAAAAGCAACGAAACACTTACATAGGTAAATCCATTAGAACTACACAAACCTTAAAGGGCATGTGAGCTTAGAGTAAAGTGATTTAAGCCCTAAAAGGAAACAATTTCCAACTCAGGCTGATATATGCTGCAAAATGATTCATCAAATGTGATGGAGAAATAAGATATATTCATGATAAAGAGCATCTAAAGAAATTCAGGACCACCAAACTAGCACTCTAAAAATCTGAAGGATATCCTAGAAAGAGAATGAAGCTAATAATAACTAAAAGTCTAACTGAATGAATATAACAAGCAGGTGAACAGTTGAGAGAAAGGAAAATTAGGACTAAGCAACAAGAAAATAAGGCAATGACAGGAATAAGTCAATACCTATCAGTAATGATTTTCAATGTGAATGCTCTCAATTCTTTAATCAAAAGACACAGCCTGGCAGAATGGATCAAGAAACAAAATCCAATGTATGCCACACAAAAAAAACACATTTAACCCAAAAAACAAACTCATAAATTCAAAATCAAATAATAAAAATTAAAAATCCATGCAACAGGAACTTGAAACAAAGCTGGTATAGCTAGTCTATATTCAGATAAAATGAACTTCAAGTCAAAATTAACCAAAAAAAGGCAAAGGAGATCACTACATATTAGTTAAGGAAACAATCCAACAGGAAGAGATAACAGTTATTAACATATATGCACTGAACAATGGTGCATTCAACTTTACAAAACAAGTACTACCAGGTGTAAAAAACCAGACAAACATAAACACAATTATAGTGGGGGGGCCACAATACCCAACAGTCATAAATAGACAAGTTAACTAGACAAAAACAAAGAAGAAATATCAGAGTTGAATAAAATATTTGAACAGATGGACATCATAGATATTGCGAAGTGTTCCACCTAACAGAATATATATATTCCTTTTAGCAGCACATGAACTTTCTCCAAAATAGACCACATGCTAGCAAATAAAGCAAGCTTAAATAAATGTAAAAAATTCAAATTATACTATACATATTATCAGATTGTAGTACAATGAAACTAGAAATCAATAACAAATGAAAACACAGAAATTATGCAACTACATGGAAACTAAACAATAAATTTTAAGTAAACAAAGGGTTACAGAATAAGTCAAGGAAGAAATAAGATAGTTCCTAGAACTAAATTATAATTCCAGGACAACATACCAGAATTTATGGGATACAATAAAAGCTTCCTTAAGATTGAAGTTTATAGATGTGAATGCCCACATTGAAAATACAGAGTGAGGCCAAATAAATCACCTAATGATGCACATCAAGGTCCAAGAAAAACAAGAACAATCCAAACCAAAAGCTAGCACAAGGAAGGTGATTATTAAGAACAGAGCAGAAGTCAATGAAATTGAGACCAAAAAACACAATGCAAACTATCCATGAATCAAAAAGTTGGTTCTTCAGAAGAATAAACAAAATTGACAAACCCTCAGCCAATCTAACAGAGAGTGCAATTAGAAAATGAAAAAGGTCACAACAGGAACTAACAAAATCAATATTATTAACAACTACTTCACAAACCTGTACACCAATAAACTGGAGAATTCAGAACAAATGGATGATTCCTAGATACATAACAATTACCAAAAACATAAAAAACCCAAATAATTCAATAAAAGGCAAAAAAATTGAAGCAGCGCTTCAGAAAAACCTATCAAGAAAAGCCTAAGTCCAGATTGATTCATCATTAATTCAGATGCTGAATTCTACAAGAACTTTTGGAAAGACCTAACACCAATATTTCTCAAGCTCCTTAATGAAATTCATTGAAACAAGTATCCCCAAAGTCATTCCTGGGATCAAGCATTACTATGATTCCAAAACCAAAGATCCAACCAAAAAAGAACTAGAGACCAATCTCTTTAACAAATACAGATACAAGAACCTCAACAAGATACTGGCAAACAGAATGCAAGAAATCATCAAAAAGATCATATATTGTGACCAAGTAGATTTCATCTCAGGGATGCAAGGATAGTTCAACGTATGCAATTCAATAAAGGTAGTACATCACATAATCAGAAGCAAGGACAAATATCTCATGATCGCCACCAATAAAAATTAAAACCTTAGGAACTAGCCTAGTAAAGAAGTGAAAGACCTCTCTGACAGAAACAGTATGCTGAAAAGAAAATCAAAGATCAGAAAATCCCTGTTCCTGGATAGACAAACCAGTATAATCAAAATGACCATGCTTCCAAAACTAATACAGAGATTTAATGCAATCCCAATCAAAACACCAACAGCATTTTTCAAAGAACTACAGAAAATAATCCCAAGATTTACATGGATCCAGAAGAAACCCAGAATAGCAAAAGCAAGCCAGGGCAACAAGAACAAAGGTGGAGGTATCACAATTTTGGACTTGAAGTCATAGCACAAACCTACAGTGATTTAAAAAAAAAATAGCATAGTACTGACACAAAAACAGACATGACAGTCAGTGGAACAGAATAGAGAATGCAGAAACAACCCAGGCACATTCAACTATTTGATCTTTGACAAAGGAACCAAAAATACACATTGAAGGAAACATAGCTTCTTTAATTAATGGTGTTCATAAAAACTGGCTATCCACACATAGAAGATTGAATTGAGACCCACACCCCTTACAATGTACTACATTAAAATTAAACTGACTCAAAAATCTAAATATTAACAGAGACAAGGAACCTACTAGAAGATAAAATAGATAAAACTCTTGAAGTCATAGGTATAGGCAAGGACTTTCTGAACAGAGCCCCAGTTCCACAGGGAATGTCTCTGAGAATCAACAAATGAGACATATCCATTAAAAGGCTTTCTGCACAGCAAAAGAAACAACTAACAAAGTGAAAAGAAAGCCTACAAAGTGGGGAAAATTTTGTCAGTTATTCCTCAGAGAGAGGAACGATATCTAGAACACATAAAGAACTCAAAAAAATTAGAACCTTGAAATAAAAGAGTCAACCAAAAAAGGGACACGTGAAATGAATACACACTTCACAGAAGTACAGATGGCTAATAAATACATGAAAAAATGCTTAACATCACTGGTCACTAGAGAAATGCAAATTAAAACAACACTGAGATTCCCTGTTGCCCCTGAAAAATGGCCATCATCAGGAAAT